CGCCAAATCCGTACAAGGTTCTCCCCTGTCTCTTCAGAGCATAAACCACATCCATGGCAGTAACAGTCTTCCTCCTAGCGTGCTCGGTGTACGTAACAGCATCACGGATCACGTTCTCCAAAAAGATCTTGAGGACGCCACGTGTCTCCTCGTAGATCAGCCCGGAGATTCGCTTGACGCCGCCCCTTCTGGCCAGGCGGCGGATGGCGGGCTTGGTGATCCCTTGGATGTTGTCGCGGAGCACCTTTCTGTGCCTCTTTGCTCCGCCCTTGCCCAGCCCCTTTCCTCCTTTGCCTCTTCCAGACATTTTTTTTTTCTCAGTGTGGATTTTTATCAAACAGGTGGTGGGCGGTGAGATAAATTTCTAATTGATTAATTAATGGAATGAATATGTAAGTGGGGTGTGTAGATGTGTATTTATAAGGGGAAGGGGTTTGGGGTGGATCCGGGGAATGTGGTTGTGGAGTGTGTTTTGTAGCGTTGATTTATTTATGGACGGTTTAGATTGAATGCTCGGTGTTCACCAGGATCGCTGACGTGGCTTGGCTTTTGGGTTTTGAGATTTGTTTCTCCTTTTGGCTCTTAAAACATAATGTTTGAATTTTTCGGTTTTAGCGAATTGAGCGGGAACAAATAAATTTGAAAATTCATTTTTGTTTATCATCAGAACACGAGTAGTGATATTTGCACCATTATTATATATTTTTATTCACACCGGTGTAATATTAATTGATTAATTCCTAAAATAATTTTAATTTTTTTTATCTAATAACCGTTATGTATTGTGTTTCGACAATTTAGTATGTTTTTAGAGATATGTTTGTTCTCACCCATTTAATATTTCATTATGTCCATATACTATAGATGGTGCACTCCCATACTAACGGTAAAAAGTGTGCATACGGCATTTGATCACAGTCCATGCGATATATGTCAAGTAAGTATGAATTAAGATAAACGTGGAAACACGAAATGCTAGAGTTGAGTATGGTTCTCATGCTCATTTAACACACAAGGATTGAATATAAAACACACCATATGTATTTCATGTACGTATACTTACGAGGAAACCGAAGATTAATTGATTATGTCGGGGTCGTTCGACAACGATAAATATCGCCTTTTTTAGAAACAATAATATCGTCAATGTGCATCTTCAATATCAAATACATCTTCACTGTCGTACGAACATCTTCGTAGCTCGTTCCCAACTCATACAGTCTTTCACACGGGGCTAGATACTAAGGAAATGACCAATTTGAATATGTAGCTCCACACTTTTATGCTACGGTATCAAGAAGCTCATTCAAAGTCACATTACTCATGATTGCAATAACAAAAAGCTGATGATATGGCGACGACATCATATCGTTTCAACCAACGGTTTGACTATCACCTGATACATCAATTTTTTTCCATCATCTAGAATTAAGGATTTACGAGCTAAAACCCTATATTTTACTTCTCTTAATATTGGGTTAATTCCACTTTTGCACCCTTAAATATAGTGTTTTGGCGCTTTGTACTCTCGAAAATAATTAATAGCACTTTGCATACACGAATTGAATTTTTAAAATTTAATGTGGGAATTTTTTTTATTGGTATTTTTTTCAGTGTAAAATAAAAAATAAATTATTATTTTCTCACGAAAAAATAATAAAACTGAGTTATTTAAAAACTATATGTTCTCAAAAAAGAAAACATAAACTTTTCTCACTAAATTATTCAATTTTGTGTTTTTTATTATAATTAGTGAAAATATAATCAAATATCTTGATAACGTAATACCTGAAGGATTATTTATTTATTTTTTAATTTTGTAAAATATTTTTTAGTAATTAAAAAAATTAAATATGTCGTTGATATGTATTTCTATTTTTGCTCATTGTATATTCAAAGGATTGATATATGCATAAAAAAATGATTTGACATTTTGCATTCTAAGAAAAACCATGAAAAATATTAAATTAGCTTATTTAGCTTAAAAAAATTAATTCGAGGTGCAAATTTATTGTGTTTTGAGGGTGAAAAATGCTCTTATTTTTGTTCGAGGGTGCAAAATGCCAAACGACAGCCTTTCGAGGGTGCAAAGTGCCAAACGACAGCCTTTCGAGGGTGCAAAGTGGAATTAAACCCTTAATCCTGAACTAGTAATATCATATTGACATATTATTTAAAGATTAATTTTAAACGTTAAATAAATTATCAGTCTTCCTATTTACCGAAAATTACAGTTAACCCTCGTTACCCTTCCCACACTCCTCCGCCGCCACGGCCACCGCCACCACCGCCGCCATCTCCACCATCAATGGGTTTCTTCGACTTGAACATCCCTTACCTAGAGTCCGACCGCAACGCCACCGACAAATCCTCCCTAAAAGGCCGCCGCCTGAAGCTCGCCCTCAAATCCATGGAGCTCGGCTACACCGGCGTGGCCTACAACC